AGCTACCCTGTTCCAGCAGCACTGCTTCAGACTGCATGGCTTCCAAAAGAAGCAAAGAGCAAACCCCTTTCTTACCTAGGTTACGCAAAGCCACGATGCTACCTGTTTGCACATTTGCCCTACTGCATAAAGACAGCATATTCATGGCCAGAGGCTTCCTGTCCACCCCTTCAGTGGGGTATTTCTGATAATTTCCTTTTAGGCCTGAACATCAATACATCTTATCTGCCATGGGGATTATTACTACCCTTAAGCAATTTGGGCTGCATCAAGAGAAGTGTGGCCAGCAGGTCGCAGGAGGTGATTCTACCCCTCTACTCTGCGCTCGTGAGACCCCACCTGGAGCACTGTGTCCAGCTCCGGAGTCCTCAGCACAGGAAGCACATGGACCTGTTGGAACAGGTCCAGTGGAGGGCCATGAAGATGATCAGAGGGCACCTCTCCTATGAAGGCAGGCTGAGAGAGCTGGGGCTGTTCAGCCTGGAGAAGTCTCTGAGGAGACCTTATAGCAGCCTTCCAATATCTGAAGGGAGCTCCAGGAGAGCTGGGGAGGGACTCTTTGTCAGGAAGTGCAGTGACAGGGCAATGGGTAACAGTTTTAAATCAGAAGAGGGAAGATTTAGATTAGATACCAGAAAGAAATTCTTTCCTGTGAGGGTGGTGAGGCACTGGAACAGGTTGCCCAGAGAAGCTGTGGCTGCCCCATCCCTGGAGGGATTCAAGGGCAGGTTGGATGGGGCTTTGAGCATCCTGGTCCAGTGGGAGGTGTCCCTGCCCAGGGCAGGGGGGTTGGAACTTGATGATTTTTAAGGTCCCTTCCAACTCTAACCTTTCTACGATTCTAGGAAAAGCAAAGTACACACAGCAATGCCATGGTCCTATCACAAAGCTTGCTAATTTCTTCAAACTACACAAACAACCAAATGAAAGACATGTCCTAGTCTGAATTAAAAATCATCGGAAAGTCCAAGAAGTGTACTGGAATAACTAACTCCTACTGGAACAGGCAGGACATTATACTTGTCTAGTTGCATCTTACCTAGTTACAGCCAAGACATGTACGCCCCATTCTGTTATTGAGTCCTCTACCAGGGCACAGCAGAATAAAGACTTTGTCTCTTTCAGGAGGGGTTCTGCCTTTTAAAGCAACTTTAGTTTTGGGATTAGACACCAGAGGCTTCTCAGATGTGAACTCATGTGAGTACCTATTTTTAAAAAGCCTGACCCACACCTTCCCAGAGTGTCTTTTATATCCAAAGATGTAGAACTGCCTATTACAAGACTTCACAGGTGTAAAGTGCCTACATGACTGGCTGACAGCAGAAGCCACTGAAACTACTAGGTGAATCTAACCTGAAACCCTACCTGCACTTAGTCATAACACTTAATCATTTTATGGCAAGATGAACTGCTGATGGCCTAAATTGTCTTGGAGAAGTACAAAGGCAACAAGCAGGTAAGCATTATTTGAAGAGACCAGAGATCTCTTGCAGCCAACATTTCACTCGCATCCTTTGCGGTGGGTTATTTTCATATCATGAGAAATTCCAATAACTTAACTCACACTGAAGAGTCTGGAAGCTGTTCCAAAAATGCCTCTATAGACTATCTTGTCCATCCAGACTGTATGCACCACTATGTGGGAGAACTCTGAGACTGAAAATGAGAAAATATTTGCTCTCCAAGCTTGACAGCTGTGATAAAGAGGCACTTAAGTCAGAGGAGAAGGCTCACTGCACACATCTTAACTGCAGTTCCTCCAGCTGAGCGAAGGAATAATACTGCCAGACTATGACGGCTCTTCTCACCCATAGCATGGGGTACAAATGACTTGTTTCTCAGAGGGTGAAAAAACCCTTTCATTTAGAAAATAATTTCATCTTAGGCTCCAAAGAGGACATGCCTACACAACTAGACCACAAACTGAAGCTCATCTTAAATTAGTGATAAAACCTAGCCTAAAAGCACATCACATTGTTTTGAAAATTAGACCATTAGGAAGAAAACACATGGAGGCATCATAGGACTTTCATTAGATACTGCAAGCTGGGCAAGCATCCATGGAAAAATATAAAATGATTTAGCTGGATTTTCCACCCAGTTAATCAGTCCTGAAGCCAACTGAATTATTTTATAATTAAGCAGATTTCTCTAAAGAGCTCATAACAGTTCACACTGCTTTATTAACCCACCTATGTGTCAGAGAAGCTGAGGAAAAGAGAAAGTTTCAGAACTGAAGGAAAATTTAAGAAACATATCCTGAGTATCAAGCAGTTTAGGAAATATGAAAATTGATAGCAATATTTAACATTACAGTGGCAACAAAGTTAGTCACTAGTATTTGACAACATCAAAGTATTGTATCTCATTAGTAAGCAGCTTGACCAAATTTTCATCTCAGTTTTGAAGTAAAAAAAGTATGAGAGCATGTGGTATGCATAAGAATTAATGCTCTCAGGCAACATATTAGTCATATTAATACACTATAAAAGATACTAGTAACTTGTTTCATTTAGAAGTGCCTTTTTAAACTAAATAACATTGTGTATAGAATCCCGTGTTTAGCATGAAAAGAGCTAAAGAAATATTGCCTGAGAGACTGTAGAAGACTAATATGCTTATTATACATTTTATTGTTTCTGTAGAACTTTAATAACACATATACCCTCAAAGGTGGAAGTTTACCACTGTATGAGAAACTGAAGTTATTGCAGTTATAAGTATAATGATGTTTAGTACAGCATTATACAAGGATAATCATTTAGTCATCGGAAGAGTAGACTACAAGCACAAAATCAAACTGATAATTAAAGACAACATTGACATCTAGTGGACACTCGGAAAACAGAGCCGTAGCCTAGCACAAGGGAAAGATCCAGGTGCTGTTACTGCTATACCATGCGTAACTCCCGAATTGCTACGATACAATTAAGGAGATTAAAAGACAGAATTTGCAGCTGACAAAAGTCAAAGCAACGTGATGATTCATTTCTTTCAAAAGAATATTCAATTAATAAAAAAAGAACAAAACACAAGACCCTTCCATTTAAGATTTCAGATAAAGGAGATTAAAAGACAGAATTTGCAGCTGACGAAAGTCAAAGCAATGTGATGATTCAGTTCTTTCAAAAGAATATTCAATAAAGAAAAAAAGAACAAAACAAGACCCTTCCATTTAAGATTTCGGATAAAAATATAGGTCAAAACGTGAGAAAACATCACAAATCATTGAGAAGATATAAACAGAGACATAGTGCCAACATAGTGGTGGACATGTTTCCTGCACTTCCTATTCACTGCATCTATAACTAGATATAAACAGAGACATAGTGCCAACATAGAGGTAGACATGTTTCCTGCACTTCCTATTCCACTGCATCTATAACCCCTTCCATTTAAGATTTCGGATAAAAATATAGGTCAAAACGTGAGAAAACATCACAAATCATTGAGAAGATATAAACAGAGACATAGTGCCAACATAGAGGTAGACATGTTTCCTGCACTTCCTATTCCACTGCATCTATAACCTTCTACTTATAAGTTGCTCTTGTTGCATCTTTAAGCACTGAAAAACAAAACTAAAACAATAAAAATGCCAAAAGTAAAAATTCAAACCACTATTTAGCACCTCCCTTTTCTCATCATTCTGATCCTTCTGTTATTGTAATACCTGCCACATAAAGGAGCTAAGTTAAACCTTCCCAATACATCAGCCAGAAGCTGCTGAGCACCAGAAAAGAAGAATCTGAAACATGAGGCTACTCCAACCCAAAATTAACAAAGATACCTGCTGATGAGCAATCTGATTAGCTTACAAGGTGGACTTCTACAAAAATCATGGATTATTTTAAGTCTGGTTTTACTATTTACCAAAAGGCTAGCAAAACTAAGCAGTTAAAGCAACTCAAAAATCTGATTGCAGTTGTTCCATCAAAGAAACTTTTCCTGGCCAGAAGTGTCACCCTGAAAAAAATACTGGGTTTGACTATTACACTTTTGTAAATTAAAACATTAACAGAACACTACAAATCTATACCCATTCCAAGTCTTAAGCATCAAATATCCTATCTACAGAAATTAAAATAGGACTATTGTATTGTTAAAAACAAAATACTGCATCCCTTCCAAAATTTCTACTTCTCAGTGACAGTCCAGCATTAAAAAAAAGCATTGGAAAGAGTAAAGCATCATTTGTGAACACATCTGATTGTAATTTACATTAGACTTCCAATTTAAATTGGTATATTGCTTGCTTTATATATGATTTTGGAAAAGTTAGTGTTGCAATTCCCCTAGCTCTCACCATCAGTAGAGGCTACAGACAGCTACTAGCAAACATATAACAAGTTCTCACTTATATGAAGATTCTCTAATCAGCAGAATACAAAGAAACCTTTGCATAACTGATGATCAAGCCTTATGTCCCAATTTCTTTTTGCCAAAATGTCAAAGTGAGCTTTGAATCAGATACTACTAGAGTACATGCAGCCTCCCAGAAATTAAATCCAGACTCCAAAGATTTATGCACAGCCATAGCTAAAATCTGTAGTTCTAGATTCTGATTCCTAAAAAGAATCAATAGCTGAGCAACCCATTCGCAAAAAAAGAAAAAGCATGAATTTCAGTTAAGTTGAAAAATGCAAGCATTTAAAAGCTAAGTCACCCTTTTGATGTATGTATAGGGTTTGCAGATATTTTAAGTGAGATCAAAGTTTAAGCAATTCTAAACAGCCCTGTTCTAGAAAACCCCACTCTTTTTTCCATGATGGGACCTATATATCCAGTCTGTTATTACCATATTGGTAATGGAGCCTGATAAAAAGAGAAACCAGCCTAAGAAATTTACAAGATAAAAACTAGAAGCAAACATCAAAATAAACCCTGCCATTTCCCCTCTCCAATCACTAGGCTATATTTTACCCCCAAAACCAATTTTACTACATTAAATGTCCTAATGAGAGGGCACTATTATGAGACAGAAAGCATCATTGACCTACCCGGATTTCCTGGAGATTATGAAAATTATTTCCTACTCTGACAGAGATTTTGCTTGGAGTGTAGCTTTCATCAGATTTGTAGTCTGCATAAATACATAATGTCTTCACTGTTGTTTTTCTTCTGCAAGAAACAAAAACTACGTAAGCGTTGTAAAGAGAAATACTCAGGGTGAGTTTGTTAGAGCTAAGGATTTACTCTAAAACTTAATACAAGTGTGTCTATGGGTTTATAATACTCCGCTGTTAAAGCAACTAGGTGTTTTTCCACATTAACTTATGCACGCAGACTTGATTCTCACTGTTCTCCTTTGCCTGCCTTCAGAAGCGTCAGTATACCAAGAAATACAACAAATGGCCAAGATGCCAAATAAGTGCTTGGGTGTGATGAAGCATATGCTTAGCTTATCAACTATGGGCTCTACTCCTATACCAAAGAGTTCTCCAGAAAGCAACTAAGAAAGCTGAAAAACATCTAACTTCAATCTAAGAGTTTGGGTTAAAGAAAAAGGACTGAAAGCATTCTACACAGTCCAGAACAGGAAAAGGTTTCTCAAACGATCAGTTGTTAAGTCATACAGGACTACTTTAACAACAGGCATCTAACCTTCAAATTACACTCAAAGACAGAAAAATCAGGACAAAAATGTCACTTTAGGCAGGTAAATGTGAAACTGTTACAAATGACAGACTACTAAACATTCCTATTTGTTGCTTATTCAGGCATTTAGTAACCGTAACATTTGAAAATCTCATTTTTATAAATGCTATTTAACCAGCTTCTTATCAGTTGGGCAACAGGATTAACCCAAAAGTCCTTGCACTTCCAAAATTCCTATCTTGGTGAACAATAATCAATACCAAGTTACATAAAACACCCTAACCCACTGTCTTGGTTTCAGCTGGGACAGAGTTAATTTTCTTTCTAGTGGCTGCTGTGTTTCAGATTTTACTTTTTTTTCATATTGTTATGGTTGTTGCCAGGTGATGTTCATTATTACTCAAGGACTTTTTTTCAGCTTCCCACAGAAGCTGAGAGGGAGCATGGACAGGACGAGCTGGCCAAGGTTATATTCTATACCTTAGATTTCATGCTCAGTGTATAAGTAGGGGTTGTCCAGGGGTCAGGAATCTGCAATCAATGCTCAAGTCAGGCTGGGCAACCAATTCACCAGGTGGTGAGAGTCACTTGTGTTGTATTATTTTATCTTGTACATTTTTAAACCATTATTATTATTGCTGTTATTTCCCTTTCCATTATTGTTCTATTAAACTGTCTATATTGACCCAAGTGTTCGGCTTTTTTTTTTTCCACCCCTTTCCTCTCCTTTTCTCCCTCTTCTCCCCACACTCCTGTGGGAAGAGGAGGGGAGGTGAGAATTGAGCGAGTGGCTGCATGGTCCCAGCTGCCAGCTGGGGTTAAACCACAACATCCATATAGAGTAACTTTTAATACCTAAATTGGATGTTGACCAAATGAGGCTGTGATCCATCTGACTGCCAGTAAGTCTCAAGATTATCATCTCGTAACTGATCCACTCCAAATCCTACAAAAAAAAAGTGATAGTCTTGAATATGCCATTTTTGTGATGTAGACATCACAGACATTAGTTTTCTTCAGCTATTATAAACTAAAGTATGTATCCTAAATTATAGAGATATGCGAGTTGTGCCTATGCTTTTGTAACAAAACTGAAATGGGAATCTGTGAATCAAAGCTCAGTACTCAAGTGTCTTTACATTCTTATTTCCTACTGAAGTCTGTGGGGTTTGAAACCATTCAACATGTCCTGGAATTCAAAATGGTTAAATAGTAATGTATACTAATTGCAAGAACAATGCTTAATGGTTAAGCTTTTCTACCTATTCTATAAGCTAACTACTGAACTAAAGGAAAATCTTTAGCGGAGACCATTCATTTATTATAAAATTTTAGCCAACTGTAACATCTTTTCAAGTAGTCTCCTAAAATACTTTTTACTTTTTCAAGTTAGCAGCTAGAAAAAGCAGCATATGCCAAAACCAGTAATTCTGAAAGTTAATGCCACCACACTTAAAGAAACAACTTCAAATCCCAATTTTTCCGTTCCCTCATTATCTGTCCTTTTAACAATCACATCCTTTTATTGACTGCCTACACTTGCTGTGGTTTTAATTAAGCAATTGAAGTTTAATCTGCAACAAAAAAAAAAAAAACTACCTTCACTCTGTCTGAAGTGACCAAACCATGTGTTATTTTTCTCCAAGTAAGGTACCAGGATATCAGACCAAAGGCGTTCAGCCTGAACACAATATTGTTACATAAAGGGATCGTTGACTTTAGGCTGCAGCAAGATACCAGACAGATTTCCAACAGATATTTCTGAAATAGCAATTCAACCACCTCAAATGAAAAGAATACAGATATTCTGATACTTTGAGCAGGTATAAACTATCATTAACTGCATCTCAGGACCATTTATGACAGCTTCATTTTACTTGCCAGATTTTAGGGAGCTACACTATTACAGCCAAGTCCACATGAAGTTTGGACAGAACATTTAGGTCGCCCAGCTGCATTGATTTCTAAGTTAAAAATTGAAGATATGCAGGCAAAATGCTGAAGCATAGAAGCAATTGCTCAGTGCTGGGTGTGTTTCTGTTCACATGGCCTAGTTTGCTGACCACGCAAGTGAAAAAAAAAAAACAAACCCCAAAACAATTAAGTATAAAAATCAGTAAAAGATCTGTTTTGTCAATATGAGATATTTCTTCATTGTAGGATTTCTGATGTAGATATAACTTTCATATTGCATCAAATATAGACTAGGACAAAATTATTTGTAGTGGCTATGCATACAGCTTACACTACAGTGGTTTCACTGCTACATTCTGTATGTATGTCTTATCAAAACATAAAACACTACATATTCTAAGAAGAAAAATGTACATTCAGGTTTTTACATAATTTGTTGTGATTTTACCTGGCTTACAGGATGAAAGAGACCAAACTGCTTGTGAGCCTATTTCTCTAACAGTACCAGTCCTCTCTAACTGCTTTGGATCAGCACCGGGTGGTGTCTTGTTCGGGGTAGTCATTCTAGTAAAAGAAAACAAGTGAGTTAGTTGATACATTTTTAGCTTGATAAGAAAATTAAAGGGTTGTGTTTGTTCATATAGGCACTTCAATTCTTTGGCCTCACACTTATGTAGTAATTTACAGAATATGTGGTTTATACATATAAACATACACATATTTGTATACATTTTTGCATGTCTGTAGAACTTTTTATTTATAATGAAATGTGTATATAAAAGTAAAAAAGAAAATGTATCTTTAAATAAGAGGTTCCACATACACGTAAATTTTGTGTCCTTAAAACACATAAGACACATTTTACTTGTATCATTCCAATTCATACATACAGAGTTAATCAGGGTTTCAGAACTTGTCTTTTTACAGTTTTGTTTGTTTTTGAGAAATTAAAACAGACCCTGTTGATTTAGAGGCTAGCAATACAACTTCATTTCCCCTGCCCCCTGCATACACTTAAAGAGTTTTCTTAAACTGCACATTCAGAAGCCTATTCAGAAGCTAAAACAAGCCTCCTGGATATACTTCTCCTTAAAAACAAGAAACGGGAGTTTAAAAAAAAATTAAAAATCATATAGCCTCTAGTTTGGTAGGGATTGATTATTGCCACATTCACCCATACTCCATTCCCTTAACTTCACAACTTCATCTGGAATCACTAATCTGTGACTTGCACTGCCTCAAGTAATCACATTCACTCTCAACACCTAGACTATTGCCATATATACTACAAAATAATCATACTGGGTTTTCCTGGATATACTTCTCCTTAAAAACAAGAAATCGGAGTTTAAAAAAAATAAATCATATAGCCTCTAATATGGCATGCTCCATTCCCTTAACTTTACAACTTCATCTGGAATCATTAATGTGTGACTTGCACTGCCTCAAGTAATCACACTCACTCTCAACACCTAGACTATTGCCACATACACTATAACATAATCATATTGGGTTTCATTATAGTATAGAGCACCTTACCACTTCCTCAAAAGTAGCTTAAGACTTTTTTTAAAAAAAAAAAAAAAAAGATTCTAAAGACATGTAAGTTCCATGCAAGGAACTAGATTAAAGCTTAAAATTAAATGTAAAGCACTCAAAAGTCACGGAAATAGAGTTGACTTCTAACCCTTTGCTTGCATGCCTGACATCGTATTATGCTCTGCTAAGATCAGAAAAAGTCTTCCATTGCCTCTCCTAGATAGCATCAGAAAAAGTCTTCCATTGCCTCTCCTAGACAGCAAACAAGGTACTGAACTAGGCTGGTATCCACAGGACCCAGACCTTACCCGCTACAGAAGCGATACAAGGCAGAGACAACATTTTCCATGTAAGAATAACTCTGCAGCTAAAAACCTTCACCCAGGAAATGTGAATTCTGTAGTGTACATCGCTGTCTACACCAAAGATTTTCTATTGGCCCTTCGTAATTTTTTTTTTTTTTGCAAACACAGACTTCTAGGGTTCTTTTGCTAATTTCTCATAAACAAAATGGCAGTTTAACATAAAAAAATCCGAAGAAATAATTACATATGTAGTAAAAATCCAAGTACTGACAACAGCAAGTGTCACAGAAGGCCACAAACAGAAATCCTTGCTCAAACACCATGCTCTCAGAAAAGCAGGTTGAACACTACACAGCTAATCCTAGATATCTGTTCACATAACTCAAAGATATACTAATCCTAATGCCATCCAATTAAAAACAAACCCCATGCAACAAGATGTTTTGGAGTCTTTGTCCACAAAGAAAATTTTTTAATCAAAAAAATATCAAACTACTAAAAAAATTAAACAGGCAATCCATTTAGCCATTCCTATAACAAGACATTGGCACTTAAATCTTATCTAGTCACTGTATTAACATATTGCATTATCCATTTTAAAATTTTTATCAGGTACTGACAATAGGCTCATTAAAGTGTAGCTGTTCTCTATTGAACTGACTACACCATAAACCTGTGTATCTGTAGATTATGGACTGGAATAGAAAATAAATCACTTACTCTATTTGCTACTTAATATAACTTTAAATTTATTGATAGCAACTTCAGTAAAACACAATGTCACAAGTATTCTAATCTTTTAAGAATTTAAAACAGTCTTGGAAAAAATTACAAGACACATTCACAGCTACCTGAAAACCAAGTATTTTTCACAGAATCACAGAATGGTTTGGATTGGCAAAAGGGACCTTCAAAAAATCACCAAGTCCAACTCCCATCCTACACCAAAATTCAAATTATGTTTATTAAGCACTGGGGAGACTATTTTCCAGGACTTTTGAAGCTTAAATCACCTACCAGTCCTAATTCTGCACTATTTCATTATATTTGTGGTGACAATAAACCAACTAAGAGAGGTTGAGTTGCATTCACTTTAATTCTCAGATTTATATAGAAACCAATAAGGCTGTTCTTCCCACCCCTAAAAATAAACATAGAAAATTCAACTTCAGAAAATAAAGCTAAATTATTCATTCGATACAAAACAACTTTGGAATATCATCACCAGCAGGTCTTCACACTTCTTTATTATTTTGACTTCAAGAGAAAATTAACAAAAAACTCCAAATCTGATAGTGACATTTTCATTCCTAGAAATAACTATAGTCGATGAAAAACACAACCTTAAGACATAAGGAATATGCAAACATCCCATCAAACTCCACCAAAATAAAGTAAATAACAGAAATTACACTGTATGCTCAGATTATCTCAGAATGTTGATTACACATGCTTTTTGAAAAAATTACTAGAATTTTAAAGTATGCAGAATCCCTCAAGACAATGATGTTAAGATGTCCTACAAGCTGCAGCGCTCACAGGGTAGTCACAAATAACACTGCCAAGATCTGCACTGCACCGCTTCACAAAAGTTTGAGGCATATATTTTGGGGGTCTTAAATATATATAGCAAGAAACACCATCCACGTTTCCTACCGTCTTAAACTGAGGTTGCTTCCTTCTACATAACAAGCAAAGCTACTCAAGATCCAGATTTCAACTCCAAACCACTGCTGGCAAATAAGTCACCCACAAATTGTGCATTAGTGATGATTAAATTGAACATCTTTCACGTTTGAACACATAAGTTGAACTAATCAAGTCAGTTTTTCATGACAGAACTTCTGTTTAACCATTTTAGTACCAATACATTCTGGATAGCATTGCTGAAGTTTCTCAGTACTCTTAAGAATTTTAAAAGCAGAAAGCTGACAGAAAGTATTAAGGAAAAATAACACAGCAACAGGTCAGCCCAGTCACATAACACCTTTGGACATTTTACTAGCAAAAGCACAAGTATCTCATTTTGGATAAGACAAACTCAATTTAACAGCAATTTAAATCACCAAATGAAATAGATTTTAAAAAATACATTTTCTTAGCCCAAGAAGATAACGGAATGAGAATTGTTTTTTCCTTATTTCTTCCAGGCTGTGTAAAAACAAACAATCTATCTAGAAGCCCTTCTCCCTGACATGTACTAAAAAAAGGAAAGACACACTGCGTTTATAGAAGCATTGGCTGGAAACATCTCCAATTTTCCAAATCAGTTATTCCAAGACCATTAATAGGCCACTGTTTCCTTATTAACAACATTGATTATACGAATGTCTTAATGACATCATCAACCTCAAACTTCACTTTTGCCACTTTCCACTATATGGTACGCATAACTTTTGATCAAAACAAGAAGGCAGCTAAGCCTTCCTCCCCCACCCCCCCTTGAATTCTTTATCTCTCAGTATCTTCCTCAGAGAAGTCCGCTCTTTTCCAGATAAATCCCTGTGAAGAGCAGCCATTAAAGATGTTTAAGCAAACATACGGTTTATAAACAGGGTGAAATGGATTTAAATGGTTCAACAGTCTACCTCTCACAATCAAAACAGCCAGGTCGTTCTCAGATACACCAGTGGAAGACACTTTGAAAAGGTGCCTACCTGAAAGCAGGTCTTTCACTAGGCACATACATACTCTGATGCAACACACTGGAGAGGAGATAGAGAAGGATACATTGTGGTGCTTTCCTACTAAAGGACCACAAAAATCCAGGCTCAAGGAAACTTTTGCATATTCCAAGCAATTAAGTTTTCCAATTCCACCATGGTAGTATGCACGAAACCGTTTAAATGCACACCTGTAAGGATCTTTGACAGACCAGACTGTCCTCAACAGTTGTCTGTCCAGCCGTTTACTTCTCCAACAAAAGAGATTTCACAATCTTTGTGGGTCACTAGCTTCAGTGTTTCATCAACCTTAAAGTCAAACATTTTTCATGAACATCCAAACTAAGTATTACCTTCTAAAACCAAGCATGATTTTTTCTCTTGCTCTACAGAGACTATCACTAGCCTTTACGTAGCAACCCTTTTTCAGATGTCAGGGCACTCATCAAGTTTGCTCTCAGCTTCTTCTTTTCTAGTGTGCTTATGCCTTTCAAGTTTCCCTCACAAATCAAGTTTCAAAAACCTGATATTCTTGCAGAGACTAGAGATCTACATACTATGGTTAAAAAAAACAGCCATATCATTTTCACTAAGGCCCTATTCACCAGAGCAATCACTTTCCTTGTCTTTATATTTAATCACACCTGTTAACATGCCAAAACAACATTCATCTAGTTGAAAGGTTATTATTATCAATCAATATTTAATTTACTATTCACTACAGTGCTCAAATGCTTTTTTTGAATACTGTTTGCTCTTCAGAAATAACCTTTCTGCTAATTATGCCTTTGATTTTTCCTCCCTGTATTCTCTTCTTCCCTCAGTTCTTGTTAGTTGAGCTTAATCACACTGATTTCTAATCTGCTATCAATCTTCTCAAGATCATTTTGAATTCTGACCCCGAGCTGTACAATGCTTGCAATCCTTCCAATTTGGCAGTGTATCTATTTTGTGTTCACCATTACAGAAAACAACGAAAATACATTCAAAACAGAACTCCCCAGGAGGACACTTCATGACATCCCTGTTTAAAAGTTAATTATTTACCAGCCAGCTTGAAAAGCAATTTTTCAATCAGCTGTACAAGATCTCAGAAAAATTATTTTTAGACCACATTTGAGTAGCTTGTTTTTAACATCAACCCAAACAATGGCAGAAACCCTGTAAAACTCAAGGCAAACCCTTTCTATTCCTTCCCCATTAACTGTATTGGCTACTGTAAAGAAAAAAAAGTTTGATCCAGACTGGTCTTAAAAAACCAAATTAGTCCATTTTCTGTTTGCACATTGTTTTTAATTGTCTTCTACTTACTGACAAGTTCTCCTTCCAAACCGTCTCCTCACAATCTTTCAGGGGATCAAAACTTGGCCAGCCTTGCTATTTTTTAAAAATTATTATTCCGATTGCATGCCCATCATATAATTTTATTCAGCTTTAGCAAGGCGATAACTTTTCCAGCAAAACTGAACACAGGCTGCACTGACCACTCCAGCATTTTTGCAACATCCATGGTTTCTAAGACTCTTTTTTCCTGTTGGTCCTAGCAGAAGGGGATTTCATACCTCAGATTCCCTGACTTTCATACTTGCACTACTCATTTTACCTCACAAGTTCTTTTCCCTGCTCTCATTTTCTTTGGATGGAACCTTGTTGGTTTAAAGCCTTTAAAAATCTCAAGATACAGCCAGAAACTAATCTCATACTACACTTCCTATTTTTTATTCAGGTGGAATATTTAACAGTAACACAGAATAGTCACATTTCTAATATCTAATTAATATTTAATAACAATAGTAAGTATTCAGTGGCAAAATATTTCAACAACTAGCTCACTCGTACATTTGATCCCTCAGATTATTCTCTCAATATCACTTTAAACACCTATTATTTTTACTCTACCTTCAGTATATTACTTCAAGCCTTTGGTGAAAATTACTTGTCTTTCATTGTCACAAACATAAAAATATTTCACCAGAACTGAGGTAATTCAAGCAACTGCACAAGAGAATTACATTAGCAATTTTTATATGTGCATCCCTAATCAACTTAAATAAATACATCTTTAAAAATTGCATTTTTGTACAAGCCCAGGCTCCCAATGTAAGGATATAAGTAAGGATGTTAGTAAGGATATTAGTAGTTCATTAAAGGACACACTTATAAAGGGTGTTTATATTAAGTGAAAGCAGACTGAAAAAAACCCAGTAGCCAGCAGATGAAACCAGTTTGATAAATTAAGCTGCTTTCACCCAGGCATCCTCTGTAGCCCTCCCAGATTCCGCCCCCCCCCCCCCCCCCCCCCCGGCTTCTTTGTAGGGTTTTAACTTGCAATTTGAAGTATAATCGATTAGTTTTACAACGTTTTATTATAGCCCTATCCCCCCCAAGACCACAAAACACTTAAATATCGGAAATAAATCGGCGACACCCAGTCAACCGGCCGTGGTTAAACCCCAGACCGCACTCCGCTCTCCCAGCCGGGGCGGGGGTCAATACAAACACACCACCACGCACCGTGGGGGGGTTTCTTCAGCGGCTGCCTTGACACCGGGGAGCCAGACACAGGAGAAGCCGCCCACCCTCAGCCCCCCACCCCGTGTCCCGTCCCCTCACCGCCCCTTCCCCGGTGGCCGGAGCAGCGTCCCCACCTGATCGGCAGCGGAGGGGCGAGCGGAGTTGAGGGTCCCCTCAGCGCCGGTGAGGGAGGGGGAGAGAGGGGGCGCGAGTCGCCTCAGCGCCGGTGAGGGGGGGGGGGCGCCGC